TTGATCCTTTTCATTCATGATTATGGTTATTTGTTGCTTAAATCGTATTCTTAAGCATCTAAGTTCTTCTTTTAACATCCACTGATACACTGATAAGCGATAAGCTTCTATAATTGCATTTACCGTAAACATTGCAAGTTAATTATATCATAACTTCTAATAAACTAGAACTTTCATTGCTTTTTCTTTTCCCGCAAATTGATAAGTTCAATGTTTCGATATGAATTTTTTAATGAATTAATTATATCACAGATGTTTTTATTGTTTTTTGAAAATGTTAATTTAGTTGAGATATTGAAAAAGTTTAATAGATTTTTAAATTTTGAAAGAGTTAATTTAATTGAGATTTTCACATTTTTCATACTATTAACTTATTAATTAATTGCAATTTGATTGATGAAGAAAGGAAAATAACATTCCATGGATATACGATAGTGGGGAAAGTCTTGGAATTTAAAAATAGATTTAGATTCTTTATACTCCCATTTTTATATTTCATTTTTTTCTCTCTCTCTCTCCCTCTGATAATAAATGCGATGGAAAATAATGTTGAAAGCGATCTCCTATTAATGATCGTAAATGTATCTATCTTATTTAATAAGTTAACTTCTTCGTTTTATCCTTTTCTTCTATTGTTGAAATTGCTGCCGCAATTCCAACAATAGAAATAAAATAAAATATTTCTTTCTTATTTTTCCTTCCAAAGTATAATTATCCATGAATAATTACGAGGATGATGATAACGATAATAGTAGTTATAGTAGTAATGGTGATAACGATGGTAAAAATGATAATTTAGCGATAGTGTTGATGGAAGTGGTAAAAATTACAGTGGTGCTAATGATAATAATGATAGTGATGGTTGGTAATGATGATAAGGATGATCATGATAATGATTAATGATGATGATAATGATGGTGGTAGTAATGATGGCGATGATGATTGGGATGATCATAGTAATGATAATGATGCTGATAATGATGACAGTAGTGATGATAGTGTCTAAGTGTGAGTAGAGAATAGCCGGACAAGAACGCCCCTTCTCTTAACATCATCGTTGCTTGTTGTAGAAATATTTGTGTAACAAACCGTTCATTTCAATCAGTTCATATACATGCAAATTTTTCATTCGATGAATGTATCATTAAGTTTGCTCTGTTCACTGTTCCATTCCAAATCACTTAAATATCGAAGGTTACGATTTGTCATACACAAATTTATCGCTTCTTCCTTTCTCATCCATTCTTCCTAATACTCAATATTCATTATGATAAATTTTGTTTTTTACTAATTATATTTATTTCCATAATCACTTATCCTAAATTGATTTCAATTTCAGTTCATTTTTTTTTCTTAAATCATTTATATAATAAAAGTTTTAACTTCTTTAATGTACGAGTACCACAAGCAACTGATATTATATTACTGAGAAGAAATAATGGTAAAACGATTCATTGATATCTTCAATCTTTAAAATAATTAATTTATCAAAGAAGAGATTTTAGGACAACTACAAGAATGGCTTGTTTAACGAGAAGGATAAGAATAAATTTCATTTCAAATCATTCCTTCAAAAAATGTAAATGTTGTAATGGAAAATGTTTTTTTACTAACTTTCACCAAACATTCCCTTCAGAGTTTATTGCTTTTGCTCATAAATATATATAATATCCGTTTTATTTATCGTTTCTTCATCTTTCCTTTATTTTATAACAATCATTCATTTCAGATTTAACCAAAAGCCATAATAGCATCTTTTCTTACTTTACAACAATGAAATTTTGAATAGTAATTCTTATTTAAATTTTAATTTCATTTAATTAATTTGGAAAAGAATTCCTAGCAAATTGCTTCTTAATTTCTTTGCTTATAATTTGTTTATTCAAACAATTAATTATACTACCTTGGAAGATTAATGAAATTTAAAACAAAAAAGAATGGATAATAATCATCAAAATGAGCAGCTGAATTTTTATGATTGAAAAGAAGGAAAGAATTACAAAATGACAGTATTATGGAAAATGATTGAATTATTTACAATCAACTGAGGGAAAGAATTCTAAGCAATCGGTAAGGAATGTAAGAGTGAGAAGCCGCTTCGGTTGTCATTTATGGCGGGGTTAAAAGAGAAAGTAAAAAGTTGCATTACTGATTATTTATCATATATGGGAAAGAATTAATCGTAGAAATTTTGCATCAAATATTTTTATCATAAAATGGGAAATCTTTTTTCCTTACAAAGAAATAATTTATTTGCACCTTTTTCTGTTAACAAATTATTTTATAGTTTATTTTATAAATTAAAATTACTTTAAAATATTTTATTTAATAACTTTATGATAATAAATTATTTTGTAATTAAATTATAATGTTTTATTCAAAAATTAAGAAATAATTGTTAATATATTTTATTTGTTTATAATTAAAACATTCAACGAGAAATTTTTTCTATTATTTTTACCACATATTATTTATTCCATTTAGGTATTAATTTAAATTTGAAGTAATTTTGATTAAATTCGGAACAAATGAAAATTCCAATTAATTCGACTAATTCTATTTCTTATTTAAATAAAAAAGAAATAGCGTAATTGTTGAGGAGGCGAAATTAATTAATTCTGCTTATTTTTCACTCTTAAATTTTCTCTTATTTCTCTTAAACTTTCTCGATTTATTTTCCTTCTCTTAAATGACTAAAATCTCTATTTTTAGAGCCCTTATATTAGAAATTGCGAAAAAATTACTAAACATTTTATAATTATTTTTATTACATTGTTATTTGAATTCAACAATAATATAACTGAAGAATCTAACTTGTAGTTGATGAATTGAATCATTAATTAATGTAATACTCATTTATTTAGCATATCATATTTTAGAGATTTAACTTATAGTTGCATAATTTGAAGATTTAACTTATTATAGCATAACTTGAAAATTTATTTTATCGTAGTAGTTTCTAAAATTTCTTAATTTAATTTAATTTAATCGAAAAGAAATCGTCCAAAAAATTAATTCCTAAAATAATTTTATACTATAAAATAAAAAAAGAATTATAAAAAAGACTGATAGTTAATTTTCAAAATAATACAAGCAAAATATCCATTTTCAACGCCTAAACCATTATTTTACATATTTCTACAAAATGAAAAAAGAATTTAACCTTTCTTTTTGTGTGCTATTCCAAAAAAGAAAAAACTACGAAAAAATGGATAATTTATATTCGTAGTATCACTTTGGTGTGCATTTCAACTTCTTAAGCATTGTTGAGGAGACAACGATAAAAAAAAAACCGATCCTACCGATACAACCGATACTACCGATCCTACAAGGCTACGATCATATCTTTTTCATCCATTCTTAATGGATACTAACTTCGTTTTTTCCTGTTAATCTGCTCGTTTCTTATCTGAAAAGTAATATTTTTTTTCCTTTGATTAAATTCCGATCCATTCATCATTCCTTTTTTTTCCGTTTAATTTCTACTTAGTTTCATCAAAATTGATTATTACAAAAGTATAAAATTTTAAATGATAAAATTTAATTATTGATCAATTATAATTTCAGGTGATTATCATTGAAAAGAAAATGCAAATAAAATTATTGCAGCAACTTTTTCTACTTTTTTCATTGAAATGAAACAAAATTTGAAACGATGAAAAGAATTACGTGTATTTTTTGCTCTCTTTAATTATCACAAATGCAGTTCTTTCTGATCATATGATATAAAATCACTGTATCAGTTAATAATTTCTTGGAATGTAATATTTTGATAGAAAAATTGAGTGAATAATAAATTGCAATTAATTGAACATAAATGTTTTCATTTTGAAAATTTATTTTGGTTACACTCTAAAATAGTTTTTTATCTGAATTTTTTTTTTTACAAACAATTTGCAACATTAATTTTAAATGATACTGTAAAAATTTCATTGGAAAAATACGATGCTACGAGAAGGAAAACAAACATTGCAACAATAATTTGTTGCAATTTCATAATCTCAATTTATTTCAATAAGCGAAATATATGTGAAACTGAAAGAATGCTTTATTGTCAATAAGTGAAAAAATTATTTGAAAATTATCGTCACTTATAGCAAATTTTTGCCTTTATAGAGCAGTATTCATTTTTCAATAACTTTACAAATTATATACTAAGGGTAATAATTTAAGCATTTTTTCCACGCATTATATTCCGCCTATGAAGCCTAATAGGTTCAACAACTAAAAGCCTTTGAAAGCAATAATATCTCACTTAGGAATTGCATGATATCATGCTATTTCATATTATTTAAAATTTTTGCTCTCATTGATACGCAAATTTATGACTTTAACGTACGTGTGAGTGCTCATCAAAGCAAGCAGAAATTCTACATGTTATCAATGTTATCAGATCAGAAGAAGTAGTAAATAGGATGAGATGTCCCTTTTTTTGTTTCAATAAAATTGGCTGATAAATATTTGAAATATCAGCTGAGGCTTACTTAGCGACTTTTTTTCCTTTCGTATCAATAATTTTTACCAAAATAACATAACTGTTGTAATAAATTCTGATTATATGCCGAAATTCAAATTCAAAGAATTTAATTTTTTTTCTTGATGCTGACAGCTAAACTGCAATTTTCTCTGAAAGAAAAGTAAACAAAATCAATTTTTAGCAAACTCTTGCAACAATAGAATGTCATTTCTTCAATAATTAGGAATGAAAAAACAGTTGACAAATATCGGTTTCAATATTTCGGTCTACTGAAATTTGTTGAACTGTGATGAAACTTGCATTTCAATAAGGTTTTGATGGGAAAGATTTTTTGAACATTATTACATTATTCTGTGAAAAATTGATATTGAAAGGCTGGAAGATAGGAATATATTAAGTTGTTCAAGTTTCTGCAGCGGTTTATAGTTTTGAAAGAAAGATCACCATCGATATCCGAAAAAATGATATAATTAGATTGATTATTATCCTTAATTCTTATATCTTACAAAATTCTGTATTGAAGATGTGGCTATATAGCGCAACCGTATTCATTGCTTTTGCTTATTCGGTATGTTCAAGTAACTTGCTGAACGCCAAAAAACGATGTAAACAGGTACCATAAGTTTTAGTTTTCTTAATTTTTTTTAAAACCAATATAAATTTAATTTTCAAACTAATTTTCAATTTATTATTTAATATTTATATTACTCGCAGAATTGCTATGATACCGAAATTAATTAATGATCATTAAATAAATGTGAGCTATATCTTTCAAAAGTTACTTCTCATTACTCAGTTTTAATTTTATTAAAATAATAATTGGACTCATTTTTCCCAGCAGTAGAATCTCCGAGATGCAAAAGTTTGGATTGCAAAACAAAATTTCAGTTCAATAGAATTTACAAGTTTTTTTTAATTTCAAATTTTCATTTATATTTCATTCGTTTTAAATATTTCCAGAATGGAAATAATATAACTGTTACAAGTCATCATCGCCGTTATCACTTATCAGCAGATGATAAAGAAGAGATACAAGTTCCGATGAAAATACCTAAGTTATCGAGGATGCAAAAAATAGCACTAATTATTGAGTCGGGACAAAATCCGTTCGAAAAAAAGCGAAAGCGAAAAGAGAAAGGTAATTGTAAAAAACTTCTTTTTTCTCATCACTTTTCACAAATGATCTGTTATTATCCGTTTTGAAGAAAATTTGACATTAAGGAAAGAGGCGCTTAAGGAAGCTACGGAATGTGCAACGATATCCGAATAATGCATATTTGTTGTTGGATGATAGTGATGGAGAAGAATCACGCTGGGATATGAATAGGCATGATGAAATACAGCAACAAGGACAACAACAACAACAACAACGACAACAACAAAAATCTAATGGATTTCAAAATCATCGCTGGGAAATAGAAGTGGAAACAACAACACCGTTGATCAAAGCTGAATGGGAAACAGTAAAGGAGCCATATGATAGTGATAACTATTGGAGGACCTCAACATCGCGGTATTGGGATACGACAACACAATCGTATTGGAAAGAAACCTCTCCAAAATATTGGGATATCGCCACATCGCGTTATTGGCAAACAACTACCAATGATCCGTTTTGGCAACAAATTGTGGAAACAGGAACAACAGCAGCACCTACCACGTATACTACTATTACTCCAACATCAGTTCATGAAGTAGCATCGGATACTACCGAGGACCTTATTTGGGGACAATTGTTCATTGTAACACCAACTCCACCAGCTCCAAAATTGCATCAACCGCTTGCACTACCTGTGGAAATCTGTCCGCACCGTTTTGATGCTGTTACACGTGGTAATCTGCGATTTCAAAAGTTTGCCAAAATTCTGAATTGATATTTTTCGAAATGATACTATTCAAAAATTCAAAAGTTTTAAACTTCTGAATTACAACTTCAAGATATCACCAAAAATTACTTCGTTTTTAATTTTTAAATGCCAAGTGTAATTAAATTTAATTTTGAAATGAGTTCGTTTATATTTCAGCTTGAAATCTCATATTTTGAAAATTTATAGCGTTTAACGGTCGAACTTATGTATTTGCTCGTGATCGTGTATATCAACTTTGGAGGTACGATAATTTACATCAGAAGGCATCATTTCTCATCAATGAGATGTTCCCAGATGGCCCACGTACGGTTACAGTTGCTTACACTAATAGTAGAAGTGGCATTACCGTACTTATTGAACATCAAACTGTCTATCGATATCGATGGAATCGAAAGAATAAAGTTTTCTACGTTAGTCTTCATATTAATTATATACCATTTTTCAGCATATTTCGATTCACTATTACTTTAAACATGAATTACAAATTGTGAGTGAATTTTATAGCTTGCGCGGAAGAGTCCCCAAGAGTTAACAAGAAAAATGCCAATATATCCCCGTGTAGGATTTCAATGGGTCGATGGTAATCAAGTCATTATTGACGTAAGTCTTTCACTTTCATCTCTAACACTTTTCAAATTTGCAAGAGTCTCTCTCTATCCTCTCCCTCTCTCTCTCTGGTCATATTTATAAATTCATGAAAAATTTGCATATTTTTATTCAAGGAATTTCCGTTTAATGTTAACTTTGGTTATCAGACAAGATATTATAATAATTATCAGACAAGATAATTATCATAAAATTATCAGAGAAATTTATAATTATTAGAAAAATTTCAGGATGAAAATAAAAGTTATTAGAGAATAATCATTGTCAGAGCAATTTCAGGGTGAAAAATTTGCAACATATGATGCATATTGGAATGTGGTAACATTTACCGGTTTGACTGCAAATTATTTTCCACAATTTCCACAGGATTTAATTGGATTAACTTATCAGAACAATACGCTATTTATTCTTTATACAGCTTCCAATAAAATTCAGGTAAAAGATGAAAATTGATTACAAAGATATTCTGATATCGATATTCATCAGCGGATAAAGTTTGATAGAAATTTACGATATCGGTTTGCATCCAATGTTTTTCAATACAATGTTTATAGAATTTTTGGCAAAGTGTTTTTCTGTATTCATCGCAATAAAAGAACTTTAATTTTGAAATTCCCGACTGTTGAATGAAATTTTACTAATAAATGCAGCCACTGGCAAAATAAATATCTAAATTGGTTTCATTTGAAGTATGCAAAAATCATTCAACTTTATAAATTTAGCAATGTATTCTTCCAGATCTATGATACGGGAAAATACCGAGTCATACAAGAATATCCCATTCAAATTAACGAATTTGTCGGTTGCTTCAATGGTTGATAAAGCATGATAAAGCGAAAGTCCTCTCGGAACACATTACAAATCTCTTAATATGATAAAATTCTTTACATTTCTCATCAGATTTCCTTTCTCTTTCATTTTTTATAATCCATTAAGAACTTATGACTTTTAAATATTTCTTATTATTTCAGTATTCCGATATTTCATTTGAATTCACTCTAAGAAATTCCATTAATTATCGATCAATGTTCAAATATCATCATATTGAATATTTTCGCAGAAAGAGTTAAAATTTTGACTTAAATCGTTTGGTTTGATTAACAATTGAGTAAGCTTAGTTTTCCTCTTAAATAAAACTTATAATTTTAGCCGATAAATTTAAGGCTTTTAAAAGCAATTCTCCTACTTTGAATCTGTTAACACATTATCATATCGCGTCCTATCTAAAAAATCTCAAATTGCATCTAAGCCGTAGTTACCTAAAAAGTTCTACCTCTCATTTTTGGTTCCTAAAAATAATATTTCGCTTACTGTAAACGTATCTATCGTAAGAAAATAGAAAGTTTTGATAAAATTATGATAAGAAATATGAAAGAATGAAATAATTGCCTTTTTTAATTAATTTTTGCTTATCATTCAGGCTAATTAGTTCATAATTTTAATGTTAAAGTAAAATTATATCTTTAAAATTTCCAAAATATTTCATCACTTTAATTTTTTTAAGTTATATCAAGCAAAATGATGAATACCTATTTGTTGAAAATTATTGTTAAAAACTTTTGCATATCAATGATATTTGAATATCGTTGATAATGCTATCTATTTGTAGTGGCGCAATTTAACAATGGACACAATTTAGCAAAATAAATTGTGTAATAAGATTTAGCTAGAATTTCCAGTAGAACTTGAATAAATACAAATTTAAAATATTCCTTATTCATTTAAACTTATTTTTGTTATTTAGGCGCTTTTGCTAATTACCATTATAAATTACTCTATCTATCCATATAATAGATAATTTGAATATTTCAAATTTATTCATTCCAATTTTACATATCACTTCATTTACATATCTTATTCATTTTTCTTTAATTATTGAAATTTATCTATCCAATGCAATAAATGTCACTGCCATTTTTATTCACTCAATTTGTAAATGATAAACAACGTTGTTGTTTCTGTCTACAACATTATGTTATCAGTGTGAAAAATTTTTTCTTCTTGTAAAGTTATTTAAATTTTCTGAAAACTTCATTTTAGCATTATATGTTTGGCTAAGTTTAATTCTCTTTCACTTCTTTACAACTTCATTCCACCACGACAAGTTAAGCAATAATTTTAATTTTTCATAATTCTATGCTTTTGGCTCGTACTAAAATAGAATTCGCTAATTTAATTTCATTTGATTTGATTGATTATTGATCTTTTTGCCCACGCAAGTAGCGTGAAATATCATTGCATGCAATCATCCACGATTTCAGAAATATAATATAATTTAATATTTTAGAAAAATTCAAACTTCTTCCTGTTTTTAAAAATTATTCATCATCTTGATTAAATTTGATAAAAACATTATCATTCAAGCAACTTTAATTTCTCTGTTTATTGTTTGGCACTGATATAATCCTTAACAGTTATCTTTTAACACTTTGATTACTTTTATTAATGAAAGATTTCACTAAAAATGTCACAACAAATAAAACAATTATGCATGAATAATTCGATGCTCAGTAAAATTGAATATTGGATGATCGATAAAACTTATTGTACAGAATTGCTTTTGGCAGTTCCCGGATTGTTCCAATTCCAACATAACAATCGTATTGTAATGTCTCAAATATGGTTTTGGCACGTAAAGAGTTATCTGAATTTAGCAATAATAAATAAATTCATTTTAGAAATTATAATAAATAATTTGGAACAGAAATAATATTTAAATTGTTTATTATTCGAATAATCCAAAAAGATATATTGAATCATTAAATAAATTAACCGATTCAGCAATTTAACTGACCTTTAAGAAATGGATAGAAAATTGTATAGGAATCTTTTTTGATCAATAAATGTCATATAAATTAATTATTTATTACCTGAGGTCCAACACTTGGCCAATATCGACCAATATTATGGCCGTTAATGAATATTTGTCCTTTACCCCATTCAGTTGGATTGAAGAAAGTATCAGCAAGATGATTTGCATAGAATTGACCCGTATATAAACCTATTCCATCTCTGTTTTCCTAAAACTGCTTCTTTATGGTACTTCAAACAAAACTTTATGGTACTTCAACCAATTACAACAGGAAATAGACTTGTAAGCTAGAAATAAGGCTTTGAAAAAAGAGCATTAATGATGAAAGATAATTAAACTGCAAAATTTATGTGAAACTGATTGAAATTAATGATTAAATTTTTTTCAGTTAATTACTTTAAATAAATTGATAAATAAGTTTATAAATATAAGCAATAAAAAGTTTTGCAAAATTACGAAATGTTCCGTTTACGTAAAATCCAAACAAACACTAAAATAGCTTTGTTTTCGAATCCGTCGAGCTATTGAAATAATTAATTTAGAGTGTAGACCGCATTGTTTCCAATCATCGATTATTCGTCCATCAAGTGTTACATTCGCTAATATACCCTAAATACTAGGCTATTTTCATTTGATAAACATAAGAATAATGATAAATAATCATGATCATTATTTATCATTATAATTATCAATCCAGCGTTATATAATTTAAAGTGATAAAGCTTTTCAAGTTTTCAGATAATATTTATCTTCGATTAGAATTGAATAAATCATCATTAAATTTGATAGATAGGAAGCGGAAATTAAATAGTAGTCTCTTTTGAAGTGATAATTAATCAATGTTAATTAATTTTTTCAAATCCTATAAGGAAAAATCAAATACTTTGAAATCAATGATTGTTGGAATTGTTTGACGCCCTTGATTTTCCACTAATATTCCAATTTTTGCACCTTCTTTCGCATTTCGTAAATCCACCCAATGCTTCTGATAGCTTCCAAATTTATTCACCAATATTCCCTGAATATTTCATACACCTTTCACTTCCATGGACGATAAATTTTGAAACGAACAAAACCTTCGTTTTAATTTTATAATTAAAGTTAAATGTATGAAATTCTCAATCTGAAACAAATTTATTTGTCCCTAAAAACTAATTAATTATGTAACAACTATTTAATTGAATAAACAACAAAGTAATGAGATTTCAGAATGCAACCTTAATTTAAGTTCCATGTAAAATAAACCTGTAATTCATTATCAATTATCACATAGCCACGATCTTTTATTACCGGTATTACAAGATTTGTTCCGCTAAATTTCAATGTCGCATAGTATATCACAAAGCCTGATTTAAATATTTTTTAAATTTCATAGTCAATTTTTGTTGTTTTGCTAAATCATTTACAATAATGAAAGAATTGATAAGTTCACAAGTTTACAGATAATAGTTCTTCAACCTCTACGATTACTTCATTGTAGCACATTTATGTAATTGAAAAAATTGATTGAACTAATTTAAGGATTTAAAAAAAAGAAATAATAATGAAATGAAAGAATTACCAAATGGATGTTCAAGTTGTTCAAATGAAAGTGGATATTTTGTTATTTGACAATCTCGACTTTCTCCGATTAATTCCCAAAAATATTCTCCCAACGGTAAGATCTTTTTCAACTTCACGCTACCGTAGCCAATTTTCCTGAAAGAGAGATTGATTTCATGAAAATTGAAAAAGTTTTATTTAGCTTAATCGTTCACAACAAATAAATATTAAAATGAATAAAACGAATCTTACTGTGAAAATTTTAACATTTTAAATTAAAGTAAAAGAAATTCGCGATATTTTTCGAATTTACTTATTGCAAAGATAATATTGCAATTTTCTATGCCCAAATAATAACATTTCATATTTAACTATCAAATTTAGAATTTTTCTTAATTCATTTTTTGACCTTCTAAATTACTTACAAATTATCACGCGGTATATCGCCTGGTTTATGTGGCCAATCCGATTTACTGGCTAACCAATTTCGTATCGCCATATATTTCGGTGTTAAATCACCTGCTTCAGTTAACGGAGCAGTGTAATCGTATGATGTTATTACCTGTATATAAACATTATCATTAAGAGAAATTTAAAAGTATGGCATCGAAATTTTTTTACAACTTTTCAATTGCTCGAAAAATGATTTGTGATTGATTTAATTTAAATAGAATTTTATCCAAAAAATTGATCTCAGCAAATTTAATTAATTGATTAAATTTTTAATTAAGAAAGATAATGAATATGAATTTAAAAAGGAATTTTAGATGATTCCACAAAATTAGCATAATTTATTAACCGATTTGTTAATAAAAATTTTTGTATTTGAAAATTAGTACTATCGGAATCTTTGGAGTTTAAGCATTTTTGCTAATTTTAATTATACGGCATTTCTTTTAAAAGTCTAATACAGGTTTACTTTGCAATAACAACTTAGTTTTCACGAAGTTTTTTCCCAAAAGTCTTAAAATCTTACCGGTGCAACAGTTTCTGCACCATTCCAGTAACCAAAATTAGTGCCACCATGGAACATGTAAAAATTAATATTTGCGCCAAGATGATACATGTAATTAGCCGTATCAATCATTTCTGCTATTGACGGTAATTTTTGATTCCTTTGACCCCAAAAAACAAGCCATCCAGGATAAAATTCCGAATTTACCAATGGTCCTACTCATTGATTTAATTTAATATTTAACAAAAATTTTCTTCAAAAGCATAAAAAGATTTTAATCAAATTTTTCTATAATTGTTGAAAAAATGCTTTAAAAATAAGCAAAATAAAAGTTCTAAATTAGAAAAACTACATTCAATACATTGTAACCCTAATTTTTCGTATATTCCAATGTTTTCATTTGTTAACCACAACTATGCTTGAAGAAATGGATAAGATAATAAATATACCTTTTGAATTATCGATTGGTTAGAAATAGATAACTAACAAATTATTAATTTAAACTTTAAAATGCTGTGGAAAAGATTTGAGTAGCTTTTTGTAGAAAAATAAAAAAATTTCTATAATGATATAAGAAAACCAATGGGTACATTATATTATTAAATGGGCATGCAGATCAGATTTTTTGACCGAAGATAATCTGCCTTAATTACCGTAACCTATAAGATTTGAATTGAAGGAAAACAACAGACCATGTGGTGCATAACGTCGTTGTGTTGCAAATTGTGCATCAACGTTTTGTCGACTTGTTGGACCGAAATCAATTGTTGGATAAGCACCGGATGTTGTGCCACATTTCAGGTACGCTTCACCTGATCCATCAGCTATAACAATGAATTCTTAGATTTATTGGAAAAATCTTAGAGACTTTTTTTCCTTCGAGCAACATGCTGATCATCTATTGCAAGAACTCGAATAAAAATTTGGCAGTTCTTTCCGTTTTAGAGATCGTTCTACAATGCGGTAAAGTGCTTATCATTTTAATATCGTTTCATCAATAAGTAGTTGAACTTTTTTTTATATAAAATATATAAGTAGAGAAAAGAAAATTTCAATTAAAATTAGCATATAAATGGCGTTGAATTTCATTTTCCATCTTACTTTGCTCGGGTATTTTGCACGCAATTGCAATTTTTACAAAATTTACTCCCCTGCTGTAAATAGAATAATTTTGCTTAATTATAGTTATCATTTTGGAATTGCATTTGGCTCGCTGACAAGTGACAAGTTCTGTTTTCTTTGTGACAATCTTGCTAAGGCCTTTTTTGTTTATTTTTCAAAATTTGCAATTCTGAAAAATTGTTCGAAAATGCAGATTTTTGCAGAAGAAAAAACGAGTCACCAATTACCCTCAACTCATTTTAATTTCTAGCTGTTGACAATTTGTAACAAAGACATTTCACTACATAATATTTAGCTGTATATAAAACAGCATGTCAGTTTTTAGAGCAATAATTATTGCACAGAAACAACTAATTTACATATACTTTCTAAAAGCCATTTAAAAATCCCACTGTAGCTAAGTTCCTAAATCACTGAACGAAAATGATTTTTAAAGCTTTTCACAAGATTAGTTAAAAAAGCAAAGATTGGAATGAATAAAATTTGTCCAATTAAAAAGTTTGATCTATGCTTGTAAATTTTAGGAAGTTGAGATTTGGGCGAAAAAAGAATGCATTAATTAATTTTGAATTATTATTAAGCTAAATTATATTTCGGATATATTTCAAGTTTCAAGTACATTATTATTAAAATTAATAGAATAATGATGCTTGATCTCATGGTAATGAATAATGATCTCATGATATTTTCTCTTCGTTAACTTTTGATCATTTAACATTTCAACATCGAGAACTCACTGGTATATTGGAGGACATCCCATCCAAGATGATGTCGAACCATATCACTCAGTCGTTCCATATATACTTTATCGCATGATTTATGACTGCCATATTCATTTTCCACCTGTATCATCAGTATCGGGCCACCATTTTTAAGCAGTTGATTATTCAATATGGGTAAGAGTACGCTAAACCAAAGTTCTACTTCTCGTAGAAATCTAAATTTAAGTTTATGAAAAGAATGAATGAAAAGAAGAAAGATTTCTTTTTGTAATTTCTTTACAATAACAAATTAATCCTAATTAGTTAACTTTTTATTTTAACAAATTCTAACTTTGTTGAAGTTTTATTTCAATCAATTCAATGTTAAAAAAATTTATTTATCATTTGGTGAAAATTGATTAAAATATCTCTTGGTGATCGATTTTATTTTTGTTAATTTTTTCGAAGATTTTGCTATTTTGCACCGTTTGTCGGAAGTTCTTTGATTAATATCTCTGTATTTATGAGCAAGCCACCACGGTAATCCACCATTTTCCCATTCAGCACAAATATATGGACCAATCCTGAAGATAGCCGAAAATACCTGCGCATATCATTCTTAATTAATGCTCAATTTATCATAAAGTAATGAACTTGCAGAAGTAAAAATAAATTTACCTTGCAAGAACATATAACTGATTAGACGCAGCAAGTTCAATAAAATGTGTTATATTTCGTTGTCCATTGAAAATATATCTGTATCAATTATTATTTAAATTTTTTTTTGAAAATAAATAAAAAGCCAACAAGATTCAGATTCTCTCTTTTTCTCTCTCTTTTAAATTGAACGTTTTACAAAGGATTTACTCTTTATCAGTTATTATTTAAATTAAAAATGAATAAAAAGCCTATGAGATTCAGATTCTCTCTTTTTTTCTCCCCCTCTCTCTTTCAAATTGAATGTTTTGCAAAGAATTTACATTTAACAATTTTGTATTTACCATTAGCTTATACAATTGGATTCACAGAGAGAGGCGGAAATGTCATCTGTTTGTTTATAAATATATTTCGTATTATTCTTGTCAATCAACAAACCTTCCATTGTAAACTTCATGAAAATTCCATGGAATATATAATTGTATAGCATTCAAGCCAGCAGCTCGAATTCGGCGCAATCGATCAGCCCAATAATAAGGATGTATGCGAAAATAATGAATGCTACCCGAAATATATCTAAATAATAGATGAAATTTATCCTCAACAAAAATAGCAAAAACAACAAATCCAAAAAATAGGATTATAGTGAACCAATAGACTTTGGCTTAAATATATTTACTAACATTTAAAATTCAATCTTTAAATAGACTTTAATTTTATTCCTTAAACACTTCATATCACCGATATCACTGATTGTAACGAGGAAAGAGAAAAATATTTCGCTACACATAGAGCAGTTATTATCAATTGTTCGTAGTGTAAAATTTTTTAATTTAAAAAATTTTATAAACAAATGAAAGATATTTGATATATCAATTTTATATTGATCGAAAAATAATTTATAAATCAAATATTTTTCTTAATAGTTTACAGCCATTAAAATTATACGAATAAAAGATAAAAAGAAATTATAAATGAAGCAGAATTTTTACCTAAATGGTTTACCATTTAGCAGAAATGTATCATTTCGATAATCGATAGCAAATGATGGATATGACGAAATTTTTTGATAAATGAAAATGCATTCCAAAATTGCAACAAACCATAACCATTTCATGATGATACATATATATATCAGTTTAATAATCTGAAATTCATGCAATTCAATTATATTTTTGCCAGCTCAATTGAAAATTTAATTTTAATAGAGCATTTATAAATTGGAATAGAAATGAATGATCGGAGAGTAAATCACACCGAATAAACGATAAAGCCAAATGATAAAAGACAAAGAGAAGCAGTGAAATTCTACGAATAAAATCGCTGATCTAATCTTCTCCGTCGTTCACAAAACTTATTGCTTATGATGTTCATCAAACTAGCGTTAATGACAGTCATGCTTTGTCATTTTTTCTTAACTAACCGGTTCTTGTTATTCAATAAAATTTTATTATATTTAATAATAAAATATTTTTTTCACTATATACCACTCTTCCTCTAATGCGACAGAATTGCAAGCAAATTCTTAAATAGTTTGTTTGGTAAGTTCTTTGATAAACGAAACTATAATTTGTCAAAGATTTAAATATTATCTTTAATTTTCTTCCTAATTATAAACAATGAAAAATATTGGCATCGAAATATGTGTGTGTGTGTGTCTGTGTGTGTGTGTGTGTGTGTGTGTTGTGATTATTTGCACTCTTCGCATATTTGCAGGTATATTGTTTGAAAAGTAAATAAATTTTGAATATCAGTAATCTTTTTTTATGCTAAATAAATAAACATCCGATGATTATTGAATCATTTTAATATTTTAAGCTAACAATGAAGAAAGTTATAGCTTTTGAAGAAATTAATTTGCAAATAAATATGATGATAATGATGATAAAATATGATGATGATAACGAACACTAATTCTTTCCATCAAGAATTTCATCGAGCAATCTTCGTAACATAATGAAAATAATTACGCAGACTTTACCTTTCTTATATTTCCTCAAAATATCATTAATTAGATACCAAAGTTTGAATTTTTACTTTTCGGTTCTTTGAAATATCTGAAAGATAGTAAGAGAAAAAGAATAGAAATTTTTCAATTTTGGAAATTCTTTTCTAATCCAATCAATTTTCATATTCTTTTTTGAATTCAAACAAACTTTAATGGAATAAAATAAATCGTAATAGATGAATGGAAGAATATCTAAGAAATGGATCATCATTTTAGGATAATTTGAATGGAATGATTCAAAAGAATGCCATAAATGATATTTGCGTGCGTAAAAAGAAATAATTTTTCAAGTATGACATTGAAATATGCAAATTTAATTTTATGACAAACCATTCTTTCCAATAAAATAGCAAATGAAAAGATGGAATTGAAAGTAGTTTAAAAAAAAAAAAAAAACAAAGGAAAAAGATAAAACTTTTGATGAACAACCGATCAGCCAAAGAAGAGAGAGAGAGAGAGAGAGAGCATAAATGATTATTTTCTATCATATTTCCTCCCACTATTTTCACTCTCTTATTCTCCTTCGTAAAATGTAAATTTGCTATGGAATTGTTACGGAATTGAAATTTTAACGAATTCAATTAATGAAATTAAAATTCGTAAATTAAAAAATTTTGCTGCTTTGTTTGTTGACAAATCATAGTATTATATGTTGGAAATCAGCATTTTTCTTTATTCTTCCATTGAGCAAAGCAAAAAGATATGTTGAAATTGCAAATTTTTTATTGATCATTCATCTTCCACTATTCTATATGATAACAAACTAATCATCAATCGATTTTGCCGATTATTAAATGAATGATTCTTATTAATTTGCAAGTTTAAAAACAATTAGACAGGTAAGGAAGACTTTAGTAGAAAATTATTTAGACTGAATACAAATTCCAGTGATAAGAAACGATCGATAAAATAATATATAGAAATTTTCAATGTAGTAGAAATTAAATTAATTAAAAAATACTAAAACAAATATTTGCTACATTTGTATTTTTAGCACAAAAAGTTATCAAACTTATCAATTTTATTTCATTCATTCCAGATTTTTCTTTTAATGTTAAGTAAAACTTTCCAATTAAGAAAAAATAATTCTTATTATTTTTAATTAAAAATAATATTTGAAAACAATAGAGAAAACGAATTTTAATGTATAAAGTCGGTGTATTCACCTGTTAGGTAATTGCTAAATGGTTGAAAATTTAATTTGAAATTCAACTCTATTCAGATACATGCGATCTGCGCAAAAAATAAGATTTGAAATAATTGGATAAATTGATAATTTTGATTGATAAATTGTTTAAAAGTATGTATTCTTTCGATCTGACAAAAATAATAATTTTCTATTGACCCAATAACTAAAACAATTCCTTTAGTATGCGCTATACTTTTACCATAAAGATTGAATGAAATTCCTTCTGGCCATTTAGTTTTAAGCAATTTTAATAAAACAAAATAACTAGCCTAGTAATTAATTTCAGTAGCTTAATTAATTTCAACGAATTGAATGCAATGAATGAAACATAATTGGGTTTAAGTCTATTAATTATTTGTATTTGCTAAATAACAATTCAAAATATATAAAATAAGTATGACGGAAGAATGAATAAACAATGGAAGTAAATTTGGCAATTGACAAATTCCTTTAAATAATTCAATTTTCTCCGTAAATAAATTTATGTGTTTCATTTCAATCGATAAAATGTGAAATATAAATTTAGAAAATTTTGCAAAATAGTTTTTGGCTAACTCTTCTCAGAATTTCTTTCATGCACTGATTGAAAATGGTTTATTTACTTAATTGATAACATAAATTACTTCAACATTTGCTATCATATTGTAACGATTCATTTGTTGAATTCAATTATGAACTTTTAATTAATTTAAATTTCTTTTATTCAACAGAGCTTTCAATTTACACAGTAAAATTTGCAAACAAATAAATCAATTTAGTAATTTTTACTAAAAATTATTTCGAATTCAATTTCATTTACTAAAAAGAAAAATTAAAAACATTGCTTAGCTTACCAACATTTCAATGAAAAAGCTTTTAAGGAATCATTTTTGAATTATTCATTACTGTGGAAGATTAAATCTTCTAATTATCGGCTCAGTCATTTGGCAATAAAAACATTCGCTGGCATTTTTTTATTTTGTAGTTTATTTAAATTCAATTTAAAAAGACGATAAATGTTTTTTTGATTACCCGATTACTTGTTGATTGTTTTGAAACAAATAATCGATGGATTTAAGCATAATATATAATACAAAAAAAAAATAAAAAGAATAAATGATCAACAAAGATTTAATTGGAATAGGAAAATTTTTGAACGTGAATTTGATTTAAAAATTTTATCAATTATAGGTGGAAAATGTTTCAAAGGCGGAAAATACATCTTCAATATAAATCAGCACAGAAATCAAAATTCTTAATTTACAAAGCTTTCAATTAGATTTAAAGAAAGAAATTCAATTATAATACAATTGAGTGATAATGTATTTATAGTACAGAAACTCATGCGAATTATAAAATAAACTAAAATTATTATTATGAAAGAGCAAAACTAAACGATCGATAGAAGTTCAAACTGGCAACAAATAATGTGAGGAATTAAATTAAGTAGAACAGTATTGAATATTCTATAATTACAAAAAAATAATTAAATTAATTTCAGAATATATCGAAATCTCGTATGTTGGCTGGTATAAACACATGCAATAATAATTAAGAACTGCGTCTTCTTTAAATAATTAATACTTTTCCGATTTGTTCATCCTCAACTGCTGTAACCTGAAAATACATACTTTATGAATAATGATATGCCATACAAATGACACCCTCTCTCTATTCTAATCAGTCACATGTTCAAATTAATTGAATTGATGATTATTTTGCTTTTTTCAAAAATTCTGTTATTGCCAGCGTTTTCAAAAATTGTTATTCCGCTATTCGCTGATTTTTTAAAATTTTCAGAATTTATGAAAATTTCACAAATAATTTGTTGGTTTAAATCTAACTTGATTCCTTGGCTTAATATACAATGAATATATAAGTGGTAGTAATGAAAATAGCGAAAGATTAAATAATGTAGAGAAGTTTAAAATATCAGCCCAACTATGAAGTTCTGATAAAATATGTCCTGCTTGCACACAAATATAATTATACGGTGCTAATCCTGTAATAAATTTGAAATTAAAAATTGCAACAAAATTGAAATGACTAAATTCACTTGTCACTTTTTGGCTTATTACAATTAAAATTGTAAAATCATTTACATTTGCAACATGCATGATATAATAATGCATTATGATAGAAATGCAATATTAAAGTAGTCATTTGATAATTTCGAAAGAAGAATACTGTTTACTTGAAATGAAGAAAATAAAAAGATGGAATTAAGGAATACCATTTTAGGATCATATATATAATTAAATTCAAATTTCTAATCTAATTACCCTAAAACCTAATGATTTAAGAATTTAATTCAAAACATTCAATTTCCCTTCTACAAAATTCATTTTCTCAATGAAGGAAAATCCGATTTTTTAAACTCATACCAATGAAAGTAGTTAATGCAAAAATGAAAAGAGGAATATTGAGAAATGGTGCAATAATATTTAGTAGCCAACTTGGTGAAATTGGAAACATCCGAGCAAACAATAAGAATGCCAATAAACGATGCGAATTATTATGTACCTTAAAAAAAAAATAATAAATTAAATAGGAAAACTTGAAGAGAATTAAAATTTTGATTAATTTAAATAACTTTCAAAGAAGTTTTAATTAGTAAAAAATAATGGTTAAAAATTATCCCAAAATGATTTTTATTGAAAAAACAATTTATAGTTAGAAATTATCAATGTACCTTCTGTTGTAAGTAAATGATACGATGACCTAAATAATAGAAGACATATTCACGAGCGAATGATTCTGAGAAAAGGTAACATAATGTTGAGCCAATTGTTGTTAAAATGCATACCAATAAGAAACCAAACCAAACATCAAACAACATACCGGCTATTAAATTCTAAAATTTTTAAAATTTCGTTCATTATTTCAACAAAAAATTGTTGAAAATATTTATTCTTTCATTTATCTCCGTTCTTCATAATTTCATAAATTCATTCAAAACATTTTATGTTTTTTCAAAATTATGAAAAAATTTTTTTTCAATATATTTCAAAATTTTGTTCTTATCGATTTCATCGCTTTTATCATTTGAGTTTTATCTTTGAGAAGATATATTATCACAAACTAACCAAAATGAATGAGCCAGGAATGGCAAATGTTTGTTTATAAATATAGGTGAAGATGAATAATATAGTAATATAGCTGAAGTGTTGATCTTTGTATGCATGAAATAAATTAGCTGTCGCTGTAAAATTTGCGAAATCATTCAGTAAATTCCATGGTGGCTTCCAATTTACGGCAACTGAAAATCAAACCATTAGTCTGTTTTAATTTGGTGCAGTATTTTTGAAGTAATTATCAAAATTGATTTTAGAATTTTGAATTAAGAAGAAAATTTTATAATGATTAATTTAAATATATCTGTTTTTAATTTTGTCACCTTTATCTCTGTATATATTATCTTTCTTTCTTTCTCTCATTCATTCTCTCTGAGAAATATTTTGATGCATAAATTAAAGAATATAATTTTAATAACTGATAGTAATTCATGTGGCATATATTAAAAAGAATAAAGAAGAAATAGAAAAGCAAAATTATTTGCTTCCTTCGACCTGAATTAAATTTAATTAATTAATTCCTACTTAATTGTCAGTATTTAATATCAGCAAATTTTGATATGGAAAGTGTAGTAATTTTGATAAATTATTATTAAGACAAATAAAGAAAACTATTTTACAATTGCTTTGCAGATTATCTTCAAAATAGAATAATGCAAAAAATATTTCCGATCATAACTCTTTAGCGATATTTGTTGAAAAAGTGAAAAGAAACAATTTGAGTAAAAGTGAAATTTAGCTAATTAATCAAATTTTAATAGGAGAAAAAAGAAATTAAACAATGACATACCGGATGAAGTGGAATTAGATCGAGTAGGTGCTGAACAAATAAGAATCCATAAGAAAATTGATGAGGCAGTGAAAATTGCTGGTAATACGATAAGTCGCGCTATCATTAGAGTTGAATTTCAAAACTAACAAAATTTTTAGTAGAAATCTCAGGAAACACTTTAATCAAATCGCATTATCACGTTAGTACTGTTTGAATATGCGGTTGAAAATGTCGTATATTTTCAATTCAGCACTTTTTTACTGCAAATAACAAATGTGGCGATAAATTTCTAAAAATTAAGAAAAATCAACTTGAATTTAGTAGAATAATATATTCCAGCATTATTATAAAGCTGAAATACAATAATTCAAAACCTATCAAGCTATCAAAACTTTGTTAAATAAATGAAAAAATTGAAACGAATTTTGCTAAATTTAAATTCTATAATAATCACAATATCAGCAAAGATTATATTGACAGCTGATGAATTTAATAACTTAATGAGAATTATCGGTTATGAAATCTTAGAAAAAATGGAATCATCAGAATATTTCCCGTTCAATACAGTCCTTCCGGTTTGCTGTCATTATCTGAAAATCCGGGAAAGATTTCCGATCATTTAAATTTTGAAGCGATACTATGCTGATAGAACAAATCAGTCAAATATTACTTCCTCACTATTATGTGCTTAATCCCGGGAGCTCTTGGAACAAAAAAAAAGTCAATCAATTGATAGTACCAATGAATGAAAGCATATTTGTTCGGTTCGGAGTGCAAGCTGCTAAAATAAATATCATCAAGAAATTATCAGTATGATATGAATATTACAAAGAAAGTGAAAGAGAAAAACGATTTTTAGCCAGTGTACAAATAATATCACTAAAAAAGTTTCGTTAACATTTTAATGAAAGATTATCAGTTAAATAAATATAAATCAATAATTGTCAATAATAATTTAAAATAATGAAAGATAAGAATAAAACAAAGGTTAATCCAAGGTCACTCCATTCTAAATTCATTTCGTGATGATTCTTAAAAAGCAACTATGCAATCAAAACCTTATATTTTTTTTAAAGAAAAAGAAACAAATCGATCAATCAATAATTATCTCACTCTATTGCTAATTATATTATTTACCACTATTCATATGTGTGAGCAAAATTTCCGATAGATTTGTCAATTTTAAAGTTTTTTCGAGCACGTATAATCACATTTATTTGTAGTTATTAATCACGTAAATCAAGCGCTATGGAAAAGCTCACGAAATTATATTTAAATCACGTACTATGAAAAAGCCCACGAAATTACATTTAAATCACGTACTATGAAAAAGCTCACTAAATTACGTTTAAGTCACGTATTATGAAAAAGCTCACGAAATTATGTTATATATTGCTTATTGATCGTTCTTACTTACCAATTTTTATTGCCAACTACAAGTAAATGTAAGTAGAAAAATCAATTCAAAAAAAAACATGAATTGGGAATTCTTTATGTTTGATAAAATGGGCCAAAAAGTTGAATTCTCTATGAAGCCAAATTTTGTATTTCTTTTCTTCGTGAAAAAATAATATACTACGAAATAATTCCTTCAATGCATTTCACTAATTAATATAGCCATAATTAACATTCTTCGATTTAAAAAGTTCAATTAGAAAAGAAAGGGTAAAATAGAAAAGAGTTTTTAGTTTTTAAACAAATTTTAAAAAGAAAAACATTAATTAATCAATTAATTACACAAAAATGAACCGTAAAATGTTCCAGAAAAAAATCTGTTCAAGAAATGAAACAATTGTATCAATCAAATTATGGATTCTAATGAGATAATTGAGCATAAATTAATAAATTGATAGAATATCTTATTGCCATTATATTATGATATATCCAAAAGATTTAATTATTGATTTTTGAAAATTTAAAAATTATTCTACACATAGAAAATTTCCTAAAGTACATAGCAACAAAAAAACAGGCAATGAGCTAAAGTACTGATAGAGTACGCTTCTTGAAAAATGAAAAAATAGTGAGGAAGAGCATGAAAGCTAGGCAAGCATAAAAAAGCCGGACAAATTGATAGCCTAAAACCTGATCCGGAATAACCAATGGATTATATGGAATGTGATATCGCAGCTAAATAGCTTTCTGTTTGCATCTTCATTTACCATCCATTAGATAAATCGTTGTCAATAACCTTTCCTTAGGATCAAGAAAAAGCTAAACGGTAAAATTTCAAAACTCTAAAATAGAATATCGATTAGCCTAGGCAAGAAAACGAATCCATCCACTAGTTGACAACAGCATCATCATTTAAGTGCATATGGCCATATGAATTAAGGAGTTCAGCGTTCCACTATCAAAATTTAGTGAAAAATTAAAATGCAATAAGTAAGTTGAACCATATTGTTTCAAACTCATCAATTTGAATATTTATAAAATTTACATAATCAAATTGAACAATTGTATACTTTACATGAAAACGATAAAAGAAAATGAAAAGAAAAGGAGAATATTTTTTCAAACTTTCGTTTTTTAGAATTCGGAATTTATTTACTGAATTATTCTTAGTTTCCAAAAAAATCGATTGATATTTTTTAATGAATGATATATGCGAGATATTTTCATTATCCATTCCATTTAAGAAATACTAAATTCTTCTCTTAAATTAAATTTATTCAAATTATGTAAAAAAAAAACCGTTGAATTTTATGAATATCCGTAATTTTCTGTCAACTATTCATTTATACATTCTTATTAAATTATATTTCTAATAAATTACAAAATCAGAAAGAAATTCGCAATAAATTAGGAATCCATTAATTTATAGCTGGAAGTTTGAAAGAGAATTATTTCAAATTTTCAACATTTTTGAAAAGGAACTTTGCATTTTCTATCATTCATTTAATCGTTCTTATTCCGCTGAAGGATAATTGAAATCGCGTAATTGTGAACTATAAAATTTGGACTTTTCAAATGCGTAGAACAATGGATAAAACAAATAATAATGTCCCATTTTATTTGTTTTATTTATAATTATGAATCATTTTATATCTTTGTGAAATAATTGAATAATTGTTTATGAATGAATCTCTCCGTGTGTATGTTGTGTATATACACCAACATGATAGAGTCATTATCGAATAGACATATTCAATATCATTTACTGATAAATGAATCATGTAGAGATAAATGAATACGCTTATCACATGTATACCTTTCATCTCTTGTACACGCTGATAAATAATATCAAAATAATAGTATTTCACTTTTGTTTTAGCTCTTTCCATAAAATGCTGATAAATTGCATATACACCAAAGAAAGAATGTAATGCATAGCATGCTGAAGTTTGTAACAGCAATAAAACATCCCATAATTATCCTAAGCAGTTATTAGTTAATTAAGTTTAAATACGCTTGTGTAAAAAAATTTTGAAAGGAAAGCAAACGTAGAAAGTAAGAAAGCATGCAAATAAATGATTTCTGAAAAATTATTCCAATCGCCTAAGCAATCGAATTTCCAATACTTAAATACATCTATTTACCCATTTTAAGCATCATAATAATATGTGAGTATATATATTTATATATGCACGTACGTCTTAAATTATTTAACTCAAGAATTCATTTACCCATTTTAAATATCATAATAGTATGTGAGTATATATTTATATATGCACGTACGCCTAAAATTATTCAATTCAAAAATTTAAAAGAAAATTTTGGAAGTGAAACTTTTAAAATTGGTAAATAATGATAGAAAAAAAGAATTGCATTTTAGACAAAATAAATATATGAATGAATGAAAAAAATTGATATTTGAGAATTTCATTTAACAAAATTTCTTTTCGCACTTTTAATTTAATATCATTGAAAAGAAAAGATGAAAAAGGAAGAAAAGAAAATTAATTACGCGGAAGTTAAAAATAATCAATTAACAAGTTTTGCCTTTTTATTTTAAATTTTCTTTATACCGCCAAAAACGAATAGCTTTCTATGAGAAGTTTAAAAATTATCGAAAATTCAAAAAATTGCTTATATCTCACTATCCAATGATTATTCCTTGATTATCATAATGAAATAATCATATTGATAAGTTTTCCTTAATAATCAATGAAATCGTATTGATAACTAAAATTTTCCACAACACTACAACAATGAAGTAGAAGTGTTGGATGATTGATGAATGAAATCCTATAATAAATAGTACGTACAACGTAAACTCAATATCAAGCAATCATTATATGTGTACTTATTGATCACTGAAAAATAATGATAATAATAATTATCATTATCAGTGGTAGTAATTATGATAATAATAATAATAATTGTTATTGCACAGCAAAAAAAAAAAGAAAAACAAAAAGGAAATAATGATAGTAATGCGAAATTGGCAATATGTCTAAAGAAGATTTGTTTAATTCGGCTATTTACTCGTTGATCACAAATAGATTTATTAATGAGATCTTACTTTAATTTAATATTAGCGCAGGAAATCTTCGTTGTATGAATAGTTCAGATAAATCATTTCCGGATCCGAAGCTCATTTCCGGATCCGAAGCTTTTCATTTACTATTAACGAAAAGTGGCAGTAAACAAATTTAAGCATTAAATAATATCAAATTCAAGAAACAATCGATATTTATATTGATGATTTAATGAATGCAAAGCAAAAGCAAACTAGTTGTTGATGAATTACAACTTGACCTTTTATACATAACTGACCTGACCTTATTCATATTTTCGTTATTTCGATTGTAGTACATAGAGTTGGCAGTTGAAAGAGATTTTCCAAAATTTTTTTTTAATCAATATCGAGAATCAAAAACGTTTTTTTAATAAGCAACGATTTCAGAGAACAGAAATTTCGCAATTTTTAATTAAATGAAATATCATAAGAGTTTTCAAATTAGTCTGTCTGAATTAATTTCTAATAATATTATGACTGAAGAATGAACCCGAATAATATTAAAAGGAAATCACAAAAAAAGAAGATAGAAAGAAATCTGATAAGTGAAATAAATAAATAATGTGACAATTCCGCTCGATGAAAAACCGCCGCATATATTTACGTTATGATGCAGAAGATTATCATCTAACATCAAAGCGCAAAATGAGACAACGAACTGAATATTAAACAATTGTGATAATCAATAATTTGTTTGAATCCATTCTTTACATCAAATTTTAGAAGCATTGAAATGATGGATGAATTTTTGGTAAAAAATAATATTAATTAATTTGTAAAGAAATTATTTTCAAATTATATATCAAAATCAATGAATAATTTTTGATAAATAAACTTTAGTTTTTTTTTTGAAAAAAAACTAAAGATAATTAATTAAAAGTTAGAGCATATTTTTTGAGTAATTTGATATTATCAAATCAAAAAATGTTTATTTAAAAATGACTACAAATTTCATAGAGCAAATTTTAGATGATAGTAAAGAAATAGAAAAGATAAACGTGAATGATAGAATAGGAGAATTTTACATTATAATTGATCAATATGGTTTAAAAAAAAATTGAAATGCAAAGCAGAAATTGTCACACACTGTCACAATGATATATTGATTATGTTATGTCACTGAAAGCTATGTCGCTTACATACATTCTCACATTATTACTCATACAGTTATACAAAATTTTTAATGGAAATAAATGTTGTGTGAATGAAACATAACAAATGGATAGAATAAATTGGAATTACGACACGATGACCCATTTTGGAACCGTTTTTTACGCATACTTAAAAAAATTTTTGAAGTTAAAAGTGAAGAAGGAAAAAGTAGAAGTGACAAATATGCGATAGAAATTAACCGAATTTAATTTTTCATAATAATTAAAAACGAAAATTTTGAATGATATAAATCAAAATTTGAAATTGGTTAAAAAAAATGAGCAAATATATGAAGGAAGAGATGATATCATTAAAGTATGATATTTCATTTTCTCGTAGAAATCAAATACTTGCATTATTGATTATCTCGAAATGAATGATTCACTCATTCTAGCTGCTATTCTCGATATTATTGGTAATCATGTCACACAATATTAACCAATCAAGTTTGCTCGAGAATATGAACTTAACGAATGATTGATATCATGAAAAAAAAGAAGTCATCGCTTTTTACGTCCAGCAATTTATTGATCGAATTTACAAATTTAATTAAAATGGATGACAATTTCACACGCAAGAATTTCGAAAATTATTACCAAAAAATATTAATTGCGCAGAATTTTAGAATTCAAAAATTTTTGAAAATACTAATAATCCTCTTTGTTTTTCAAAATAAGAAAAAATTTAGGAAATTAACCAAAAATAGTCGTAGTGAAACTTTTGACCTTTTAAAAAATGGTAATATACCTTTATAAGACTAAAAAAATAACCTTTACATTTACTTGCTACGATAGGGTTAAAAAGTAAGTCGGGTCATTTTCATGATACGATAGATATTTCGTTGAAATTTTTTGTTGAAATTCAATTCAAATAATTTCAATTAAATTTATATAATAAAGTAAAGAAATAAAGAAAAAGTGAAAGAATTCTTTTGACTCATAGTTTTTCAAGAGGATTAATTTGATGGAATTCAATGAGAGGGAGAGGAAAATAAACTTGTCAAAGCTTTTTCTTATATACACACACACATATAGACATATATTATTAATATTTCTATAGCTTGAAACGTCGCATATTCCAATAGTGCGCACCTCAAACGGTAAATAAATGATCTAAGTTTGTTTGGCTATGATGATTTTTAAGATTGAAGTTTACCTTCGAGATTTAGATTGAGAGATTTAAACAAATAATTTAAATGAAATATTCTAACAATTGTTGAACATTCAATACAACTCGTAGAATTAATATTTTCTTTCCTAAAAAAAATTTTTAATTTGCATTCAATGATAATAAATCCTATTCATTGTACGCTATCATTCTCATAAATGTTTCTTCATTTCAATTAATTTATAATTATTTTTATTCTTAATTACAATTATAAGATAACAGAATATATTATAAATTGAAATTATCAAATTGTATTGGTACTGTCGATGAAAATTGTCCTGTTGACGAGCTCTTATCACGTTGTCGCCTATTTTTAAACCAATTCGAAATCTGAAAGCTATTTTTGAAATGTTGAAAATGTGTAATGGCATATTTGTAAAATTTCATGAAGTCATCATATTGCATTAGTGCTACTGATGTATTGGTACTACATCAAAAAATAAAAATAATTTTTATCAAAATAGTAAAACTAGTTCATTTATGTATTGTAAAAATAAAATTCGTATCGACATTGCAGTAGGAACACTCGTTAATAAAAATAAATGATTTTCAGTTAACGATCTGTAAGTAATTGTTTTTTAAGTTAAAAGGATTATCAAAACTATAAATATCCCAGTAGCCTAACAAAAGGATGGTAGATCTATTGCTACAGCACATCCTCACTATTGAAACTATTAATGTGTGATAATCCTAATTAAGCATAATAGAGTGTTGTTGTTTTATGGTAAGCAAAAAATTTTCTTATCAGCTGACCTATAAATAAGAAAGAAGATAAAAGAAAACTTCAAAAAGTTAAAACTTGCAAAAAATTAGTTATTAATTAATCTATTAAAAATTAATTATGCTAATAATATGGAAAAAATGAGGACAGATAATAGTTCCGTTGTTTGTTTGTTTTTGTTTCAATTTACTATTTATGAGAATTACCAGAAATCTCACCTGTACAATCTTTAAATCGGTAATTCGTGCTATTTCTTTCTTATCCTCAAGTGTGGGATACTTATTTTTTCTGTAAAACTGTCGAAGAATCTAAAAAATAGTTTACTTCAACAATATATAGATTTAACGAAATATTTCTTAAAGAATCAATGCAAAATTGAATTTGAATTTTTGTCCTAAAATGCCATAAATTATAATGAATTCAGTTCATTTTTCTTGACCTAATAAATTAGTTAATCATAACTTTCTAGCATTTTCTTTGAAACTATAAATAGTTTCCTGTCCATCCCAAATTGATCGAGGCGGTGGATGTTTCTTTCGTAAACGATATTTCTCTACAGCACCCAATTCTTTTTGTCGTCGTTCTTCATTCTCAAAAGCAATCAAATTAAGTCTATGAAATAAGACAGCTAGCCAAGTGAGATATATGATTGACCCAATTATTATATAAACAATTGTCGTGTTTCAACAATTATGAAGTCAGCTAATTTCTTGACTTCAAATAATGCAAAAATCAAAAGTAATATTAAGATATGCACGAAAATAATCTTTTTTACAGTATCAGTGGTCTAATAATTTGAAGCATCCATTCTAAATTTACATACATTCTGCTCAATGGTTAAAAAATAAAAGTTCTATTATAGATATAATCGTATTTCACATTATACCTCAGCATAACGTGCCTTATACCATAAATCTTGCAATTCACTATAAAATCGTTGTTCGAATGTATTTGATGCTATCATCTGAAATTCAAATTTAAATACTCTAAAATGATGTCATCAAATATTGAAGTTTTAAGTCACTAGCAATTCATATACCATTAGTGATAAATTATCAAGAATTATCTAAGAGCAATTAGCTATTGTTAAAAAGTTTTCGAAAAGATTTTTTCATATAATTTTTACCAGAAGTTCAAAAATGGATGATATCATTTGAACACAAGCAACTAACAATTAGACGATATAAATTTCATGATAATTTCATAAAAAAAATATGATGTATAGAAATATGATTACAAATAAGAAAATGCAATTAATTAAATAAGTTTTAAAATGGAAAAATTAGGAAATAAAAATGACTGAAGAAAGTTAACCTGAAATAGTTCTTCATAACGTTTACCATAATAGAGAGCATAGAGATATGCACGAAGAACAGAACTTGAATAGTACTGACACCGGTAAAGCATAACATTATGTATATTAGGTTGAAATAATTCGAATAATTTTGCTCCATCACGAGCTTGATATAATGCTTCACAAATGCAATCTATCTAAAAACAAAATACAATTTAATTTGTTAAAATATTGTCCTAATTATATTTTTCTTATAAAAAATCTTATTACAAGCTTTAAAATTTATTTTATGGCTTTTAAATATCTGAGATTTTTTCAATATTTTTTCAACTTTTTTTTGCTATATTCTATGAATGTTTACATCTTCACTAAGCTATATTCTGTAGGTGTTTACATCTTTACTTAGATATATATCAATTTGCAATTTTCAATTTTTCAACAAAATTATGATAGTTAGCCCAAGCGGAAAATTCTAACAATTCAAAATATTTTGCTATGATTTAATTAAATATCCCAAAATGACAATTTTTATTTTGCTAATAGAGAAGAATTACCTGATCAGATGAAAAAGCAGTAGACAGACGAAATAAGGATGGATCGTTTTGTTCCAAGCTTATATTTCCCATTATTCTTTACATCCATTGATCGAATGATAAATCAAAATTCCTCCTGTGAATGTTCATTTTAATTGTTTTATTTTTAATATAAATCGATAAATTCGGTCAAATTTGTCTTCACACATTTCGAATTGTAAAATTCCTAAGAATGGATCGAAATGATTGATTAATAAGTAATTTGAAATTGAACTGAAACTTTCTTTTCTAATTATTGAAAATCAGCGCTCAAAAAAAAATTGATAATATTTAGTAAAGGATAGGTAAGAATACCGAAGAATAACACAGAAACCTGAGAATAACGGATTCATTCTCTGATTTCATTTTATCCGGAAATAAATTTGGTTAACTCCGCCTTCTGTTTACGGTATGCTTGTGGAAGATGGAGTAAAGATGGAGAGATATGTGAAAAAGAAATGAAATAGTTGGGAAAAGAAGTGGAAACTAAGGTATGTAGAAAATAAAAGGCGGAAAAAGACCACATTAAGGTATTATTAAGAAATAAATTTGAAGAAATATATAATTTAAAATGTAAAAAAGATTGAAAAGAAAAACAGAAAATAATGGAAAGAGAAGAAAAGAAAAGAAATAAAGAAATTTATTACAATTTTTCCGTTTTGCATTCCGAAAAGTCAAAATTTCTTTCTTTCTTTCTCTCTCCCTCTCTTTCTCTCTCTCAAAATCTCTTTAACTTACTTTTTTAAGTGGAATTATAATTTAGCGGCGCCTTCTGGACACCTGTATTAATTGGCTTTTTTTTGCCTTCCTCAGAAAGAATCATTTTTCACGAATGAATTACGGTAATGGTTGTACCGATCCATCCTATCCTGCAATATAATTATAAATATGCTACAACCAAATGTACCTCTATCATCAGTTGAATAATATATATATATGCTGAAATATGAGCCATTTTCTTCTTTTGGAAGGATATACAAATGTAGTCAAGAAGCCAATGTTATTAATTTATTGTTGAATATGTGAAGAAAATAAAAGATTGAATCTTTTGGGAAATTATTTGGGATGCAAAAATCTCAACAAATTATATTTAAATTTTCCTATCGTACATTAATTATTATTATTTCAACAATTATTGAAATTTTTTTTATCGTCCTAATAATTGCGATATTTTAAGAGTGAATCGATAGGAAACATTTTGTTTGGTATAAATTAATTTGACTTGGTTAAGCTTATAATTAAATATTAAAAATCTCCTTCATATATTGTACTACAATGGTACCTTTATATATCATTTAGTGTGGTAATGTTTTCCAGTTGTTGTTTTGGTAGAATTATTATTTATTCGACTTTTCACACATATTTACCTCCGATGCACCTGGTAATTAAATGTCGAATAATGACTACCATTTCCTTCTAGTTTCTCTATACTCTTTTAATTTTAATGTATTGTTTATGTTGTAGTCCATATATTACCAGGAATTAATTAGTCATAACAATGCAAATTACTACTGTTGTTGAGTGGAGAATAATATTCATCAAGTGTATATGAAAGTACAGTATGAATAATTATTATTATAGTTTTAGGATAAGTGTGTATAACTAATTACATTTTTCATTTTCCTTCGTATATTTTTTGATAAAGTGTTGAAGTTTTGATAAAAATAATTAATTATGTTTCAATGATTTAACATAAGCCGAATAGAGCTGCAAGGATTGAAATTGATCTCGCAAAATCATAAATTTTTAAATGCAACAAATTTCATTGATATTATTACCTTTCACTTTTGCATGCTTTCTTTCTTTTTCTCCTTTTCAAATTATTCTATTCGTTTATTGTTTCATTTATGATCCATTCCTAATTATAATATTAATTGAAGAAATGATAATTTTGCATTATTAAATTGAAATTGGAAGAAAAAGAAATCATTTGTTTATTGATTGTAACAATTAGTTTAAGAGTTTATTTTTTATTATAAATGATTAACAGCCATAGTTATTAGTAAAAATTACCGGTAATTTTTGCCACGAATAATTTCCTGAATTTGTTCAGTTTACCGAACTCTCATCGTCATCATCAAACAACTTTGTTATTTGTTTCAATTATTTCTTGTCGATGATGACTGGTATTGGTTGTTATCTTCCAACACTTACCAATTTTTTCCTCTCTTTCCTACCAATATGCAAAGAAGACCGAAGTTTGCTCAAGAGATTATGCAACTCGTCAGACGATTAACGCTCTTTTGTGAGATAGTCAGTTGTTATTTGATGATAATTGCTGGATTTTACTGGGTCACATCTACAATGCTATATGAGGTAAATTATGACATTTTTACCACCCCGATTATCATTTCCAAGAATAAAGATTTCTTGAGATCGATTTTTGTGGTATCAATGTGATATTACGCTTTATGACATCATAATATCATACAGTAAGATGTGGAAATTGTCTCAAATTGATGGCTTGCTTTTATATTTGTCTACAATCAAATAAATAAACTGATATTTAAAGTTAAAAATTATCACTAGCTTTTATGTAAGGTTGAATTTATCATTTACTGGTCTCGTATCATTTCGCACAACTAATAATGAGTGAAAATTCATTTCTGTGATTTGTAATATTTGGCGAAAACAGAATCAAATTTTGACATTAAAAAAAAATAAATGAATCAGAATAAACATATGAGTAGACTAATCACTTAATGAAGTAAAACGATTGAAAGTGTTAGTTTAATAATTACAGATATTCTTAAAATTATTACAACATTTGATTATCCATGTGTGAAACATCTTTTGCTTGAAATAACTGCTATATGCAGACGTCAAATAAGCAGTCTGAATTTCTATTAAAACATTTCAAATTCTCAGTTTACTCATATTTCTGTTCATTCGGTTTTTCATTTGTTACTGATTTTCTATGCATTGATGATTATCATTTCATCCATTCTATGTATAACACTAAAAAATAACGTATTATATATATCGAAGAAATTCCTTTAAATGTGATCATAAATTCTTATGCGTTAAAAAATAGATTTTCCTATAATGTATTTCAAAATAATTATATCGTTAATGTCTTATGAAAGGATGACAAAAAAGAAAGATTTAGCGTCAATGAGCAAAAACTATTTCTACGGCTTATCTTGCAAAAGTGCGATTTTCATGGATAATTTATTGTTTCGGTTAATTTATATTTCAGATGACCGATTCCAAAAGTCAACAGATGCACAATTGGTTCACTTGAGAAATGAGATAATAATCATCGTAAGGATATGCGGTACATAAATGCTCATTTCCTAATTGGAGATTAACTTTGGAAATGGAGGGAAAGGATATAAGAGGAAGAGAAAGGTAGAAAGAGAAGAAGGATCATCATTAATTTTGACCTTACTCTTTCTTCTTCCTTAGACACTCTCTTTTATTTCGAGAATAAAAAATGAGAATTAAATAATAACAGCAATTTCCATGTCTTCCTAGTTAGTTATGATAAATGAAACCATATTCACTAATACTCGTGAAATCTGACAAAATGGATAGGCAAAGAAACCGAGGATTAACTTTAGCAGGTAGCAGGTGGCGAATAAGGTAATATCCGATTTCTTAGACAAAGTAATTATTCGGAAGTTGCTGATGTGGAACGAGCAACAGGGCAAACAATATGTAATGGAATTTCAAAGAGAAAATTTGGCAAGTTTAACCGAAGTTGTTATGAAAAAATTGAGGAGTTTGAAGGTATAAGCAGAAATTGCTGTGAATTAATTTGAAAGCTAAGAAAAAAAGCAAACAAAAAGAATTAGAATTGTTTAATAACTTTTGGGATCATCCTGAGAACACTATTTTTGCTTAATTCATTATCCATTACGTTTTAAACACGATAACGGTAATATATTTTAACACATCGAAAGTTAAAGTTACCTTAACTCTGATAAAAGCAGGGTTTCTTCCAATGCTATATCCGCTTATTGCTTCTTCTTATATAGGAAAAAAGCATTATAAAAATCGAAATGCCCCAAGCAATTCAAATATCAAGAAATAGCTGCGACTTGAGATAAAGTCATCGACATTTGCAGATAGGGCTAAGTTTGTACTTGGAACAAAAGAGCACATAATTCTAATCACAGTTCGTTGACATCTGAAACCATATAGTTAAAAGAACTTCATTTTCAGTCAAATAAGCAAATATTTGAAGGGAAAAATAATTATTATATTTTATATACGTTGGAATTAGGCACTAATGTAGATTTTTTATACATAATCTTTTCAAAAATGGAAATTTTCTAAAGACGTGTTGTCTGAAACCATTTTCAGGAGATGTGAGAACAAAAAAAGAGGGTGCTAATTAATTCCTACATTATCAGAATACATCAGATTATCTTTCTGGCTTCAATTTCATGATAAAATTGGTATATGACAAATTAAACTTTCATAAGTCCCCTCAATCATTTACTATTTTCAAAATTGGTTTTGATTAAACTATGTCTTTTTCATATATTGCAATATTTTCACTTTTCAAATTTCATGAATGGAAAAAATTGCTTCAAATAGAACTTTCAATTTGAATTCATAATTTTTTCAGCACGGTCCGTTTGTTTTTATGGTGGTAGGCCATTGGAATGCTTCGCTGAACAAATAATGCATCAAAAACAATGCGTCGAAAAAGAAGTTCACGTCTTTTTCAAATTGATTACTTTATCACTTAGCAATTAAAAACAATCAAACGGTACTTCTTTATCACTTAGTAAATAAATAACAATCAAAAGGTACTCAAAAACATTTCTAAGCGTAAGCTTGTGAAATTACATTTTAATATATTAAAAATCTATTTTTATTATTTAGCATTTAAAATTACATAAATAAATGAAGTAGGTAACAAAATAGGTAAATTTATTATTATACTTTTATCTATTGCGAAATTCAATTTAGAATTGCTGTTTAGATCCTCATTACCAGCTATTCCATTCACTTTATCAATTACAGATCCAATTTCTGAAAGGTTTATCTTGTTGGACAATCTTGCTGGTAATCTACTGATCGAGAAATTATACATACAGTTGTTGGTCATGACTTCCTTCTACTCTATTTTCCTCTTCTTCACTCCGTTATTTCAAGCATTATTATATTAATGAATAAGTTTTGGTGTCTGATTTAAATCATTTAACAGCTGCATTCTTTACACAGGTAATGGTCACTTCTTCCCTTTGTTTAAGCTTTTTACCGGTTTTGATCGCTTTTGCCATTTTTTTTGCTCAAGTTAATGATGCAAATGGAAATTTGCCATATAATTATGAAATGCATTGTTTAAAAAATTACACCTTTGGAAACAAAAAATGCAACTAAACAGTTTAAACAGTATCAGAAGTATGTTAATAATAACATTTTACTGGCTTCAACCTTAACAACCATATTAATTGTACGTGAAAATAGGCCTTCGTGCTGAGGTCTTCTCTCCTTTAGTCATTCACCATTTTCACCAACTTGATCAGATTGAACTATATTTCTTCTCATTCATCGTAGAAATCATTCCTTCCTATAATTTCACTTTTCAGTTTTTCAATGCGATAGTTTGTTTTGAAATAGGAAAGTTGTTTTCAATCACTGTTCTTCCAATACGATCGTTTGTTTTTATATTTGGCCATTGGAATGCTTCACTGAACAAACAATTCAAAGTTCACGTTTTAAATAAAAACTTTACGTTTTAAATAAAAATTTCAACAGTGGCATTATATCGGCCGACAATCAAGCTGTATTAACAGACTTTCTTTCACTGAGAATGAATAATACTTCTTTCACTAATAATGAATATTTATTGAGAATAAATAATATTTTCGCAGTGTTCGTAATATACAAACGTCATGATGCTAAGAACGACAGCGTTAGTGACGGTATTGGCTTTTCTCGTTGCTTCGGCTGGTGCATTCAATACGTGAGTAGTCTTCAGAATCCTTTATCTCTACTGATAACTTACACAATATGTCTTGAAAATGTACAGCTTCCTTCGGTGACAACAATTTGCAGAAAAAATTGAAGAACCGAGACAAATTAATCTGGCCAATCCTTCTTTGCCACTTGCAACTTGTTTGATAATATTGTCCGA